GTGGCCACTGAAGGCTGCTGTGTGCGGGGTCACGGGCTCTCCGTCCCCGTGGTGCCAGGACCAGGACACTGCTTCTTTGTCCCCAGGCACTGACCTCACCGACTCTGGGCCGCCTGACCCCGGCTCCTCCTCCGGGGGGCGACTTTGCCAAGGCTGAGCCGCGCCCTGTCGCAGGCCTCGGTCTCCCCAGACGCCCCGTCCCAGGAAGGGCCCCCCCCCGCCTCGCTGCCCTGGGACCCCGGGAACATGTCCCTTCAGGGGGGGTCACACGACCCAAATCCACGCTTTCAGAAAGGACGATGCGGTGGACATGGAGCTCGCTCTCAGGGGGCGCAACAGCAGCTCCACCTGGTTCTAGAACATTCCCGTGCCCCAAAGGAGAGTGCACACAGGAGCCCCACTCCCTGCCCTCAGCCCCCAGCAACGCTCCTGCTCCGTGGCTCTGGGGACCGCCCGCTCTGGGCACTTCCCAGCGGCAGAGCCACCTCCCCAGGATTTATTTTTTTAATTTTTTTTTGTTGTAAATCAGGGTCTCAGTGAGTTGCTGAGGCTGGCCTCCCACTTGCCATCCTCCTGCCTCAGCCTCCCGAGCTGTTGGGATGACAGGGGTGCACCATCATGCCGAGCCAAAGATTAAGGACGTAAAGTGACCCAGGGAACCCGGGGCAGGAATCTGGACGTGGGGAGCGGGTGCTCTGGCGGACGTGGCGCACCGCGGGTGCCTCCCAACAATTTGTTGGATGAAAGAATTCAAGATGTTCGAGGACTCGGGAGGCTGAGGCAGGAGGATGGCAAGTGGGAGGCCAGCCTGGGCAACTTAGAGACCGTGTCTCAAAATACAGAATAAAAGGACCGAGAAGGCCGCTCACTGGTGGAGGCTCCTGGGTTTGAACCCCAATATTAAAAAGACAAAAAACCTGCCCAAGGACCCTGTGGCCCGGCCAGCCCTGGGGTCTGAGGCGGGGGTTCGAGAGGACTCGGGGACGGGGCTGAGGCTGCAGGTGACTCTCAGGGCCATCCCGGGGTGTCCAGCTGGGCCCAGGGCTATCGGGGCAGGGCGCCGAGCCTCAGGGCCCGACGTGCCCCAAGGTGGGTTCCTGCCGGGTGAGGCCCCGGCTGTGGCTTCCTGGGTTTCTCTTTCAGTGTGACTGCGCCTGTGACACTTTTTTTCCTTTCCTTTCTTTTTGAGGGTTCTGCTTCAGTGAGTTCCGGGAGGGGACAGTGTGGTGGCCGTCCTGGGTGCTGAGAAGCTGCTTGGAACCGGAGGCTCCTCGTGGGCCCGATGGGGCGGCCGGTGGGGGTGCTGTGTGTCCTCCTCCTCCTCCTGTGGTCCAGCCGGGGTGAGGCACGGTCCCCAGCCGCCACCCGCTGCTCCTGGTCGGGACGGAGGGGTGGAGGCTGCGGCCCCGGGTTCGAGGGTCCTGCCCTGAGTGAGTGGGAGGGACCCGGTGATCCTGGCGCTGGGCTCGGCCTCCTCCCAGAGTTCTCTTTTGTGGACTGGACCCTCCCCACCTCCCAGAGTTCACTGAGGGGACACCCAGGGCAGCGGTGGAGAGCGAGCCCCCGCGTGGCAGGCGCGTGGCAGGGTGCACACAGTCATGTACGTATCAGGTGAGGACGGGTCACTGGGGTGGCTCGGTTCAGACTCTGAACTCCTCTCTCTGCTCCTGCTGCTGTGTGACTCTGGGCAGATTCTGTGCCTCTCTGTGCTTTCGTTTCCTTCTCTGTAAACCGGGGATCCGCAGGGTGGAGTCTGAGGAGCTGAGTGTACCCGGCGGGGACTTCAGGAGCCGGACGGGGTAGAGAACGGGCAGGGGAGTCGCTCACTGGTGGTGGCCCTGGAGGGTCAGCCCTGGGGAGGGCGGGGGTGGGGTGGGGGAGGGTCTGTGTCAGGGTGTGTGGGCGCCAGGCTCCCCTGACTCCGCCCACGGCGGCCCCTGCCCCGACGTGTCCGGTTCTGCCTCTGGTGGACAGTGGTGCTCCTGAGCAGCGTGGGGGACGCTGTGGCTGAAGGAGGTCACCACCCCCAGGGACGCCACAGCCCTGACTGCTGGTGGGACAGGAGCCCCGCTTGCCCCCCCCTCGACCCTCCTTCCTCCCTACCAGCTTTTCCTCTCTTTCCTGCTTGGGGGACCCCCTGGAGGGACCCCAACTGCGTATCTTCGTGTCCACTGTGAAGTTTCCACCCAGCCACCAAGGGCTAAGGGGTGGTGGATGATGGAGGAGGGGGCTGAGGGGCGAGTGGAGGGAGGGGGTGGTGGACAGAATGGCCGGTGCTTGACAGATGGAGGGGGTCCACTAGGGCCCCAGACTCAGCATCAACAGACGGTGGTAGACGGACGGGTGGGTTGGCGGGCGGCTAGACAGATCCAGGTGGGTGGATGAGGGGTGGGTGGACAGTGATGATCACTTGGATGTAGACCCCAAGCTGAGCCCCTGTCCCCAAACAGTGCAAGGCCAGAAGTGTCATCGTCTCTTGTTCCCCCAGCTGCCTGCAGAGCCGTCGAGTGCTCGGTTCGGGACCTGCCGGATCCGGACACCGACTCAGGTTCGAGGCGTGAGGACCGCGTGGCGCTGGGCTCCGCCTCTCCCGGCCACGGCAGCCCCACCTGGGGTCTCGGGGCCCTGAGCACCCCCCGCCGGCCCATCCTCACCCTCTCAGCCTGGTGTGTGTGTCACCAGCTGGTCACCGGGTGTCGGGGGTGGTGGTGGTTAGGCGTGCCCGGGTGAGGCTGCCGTGTCCCCAGAGTAGGTGTCGCTGTCCCAGGCTCACTAAGTACCCACAAAGGCTCCGGTGCCCCGTGGGCACACCGTCCATTCCACTGTTGAAGGTTATCTGCTCGTCCGGCAGTGGTGGCACACTGTGGAGTCCCAGTTCTTCAGGAGGCTGAGGCAGGAGGACCGTTGGAGCCCAGGAGTTTGAGGCCAGTCTGGGCAGCAGAGCAAGACTCCATCTCAATTTTTTTTTTTTACTGAGCATCTACTATATGCAGACCCAATTCCAGATGTAGGGAATAAGTTGTGAGCCCCACAGTCCTCCCAGGACAGCCTCGTGGAGGCCAGAGCACAGGTGAACCCGTGCACGTGCTGCACAGGATGGCGCACACTGGAAAAGCAGGCGGCTGAGGGAGGAGGAGGCTGCTGTGGGCCAGCTGGTGGTCCCGGAGGTGACATAAATGAGCAATGGGACTGTTGAGATCTGGGGAAGGAGCAGGGTGTGGCTCTGCGGTAGAGCATCTGCTTGGCATGTGCCAGCGGCTGAGTCTCATCCATTCCCGCTAATGAAAAAAAGATGGGGGGGGGAGGGCTTTCCAGGTAGAGGGCACAGCATGTGCAAAGGCCCTGAGGTGGGAGCAAACCTGGCATGTTGGAGGCTGAGAAAGGAGGCTGGTGGGGTTGAGGTGGGGAGATGGGAAGGACTCAGGGAGGGTGTCGGGAGCCACAGAAGGTTTAGGCAGAAGTGTCTGCTCCATGACACTGTGACGGAGTTTCATTGCCTGGGAGCGGGTCCCTGTGGGGAAGCTCCGCCCCCTGCGGTTCTCCCCAGAACCCGGGGTCTCTTGCAGGCTCTGCCTCGGGGCCCACCGACCTGAGCTGCTATCGGGTGGACAGCGAAAGTGTCTATGAGTGCTCCTGGCGGTACGAGGGTCCCACAGACGGCGTCAGCCACTTCCTGTGGTGCCGGTGAGGACTCCACCGAGGTCCCCAAACCCTGACCCCTGTTCAGCCCTTGCTCCCGTCATCGGTACTGCCCCGCCCCCACTCCTGCTCTCGGAAGGGAGATGCTGGGAGAACTTGGGGTCCCCCTAAGCCCCCAGTCCTAAGTCGATCCCTACATAGCCCCCGAGGTCCACTAGGACCCCAGACTCGGCGCCGACACGCTCCTCCCTGCAGCCGGCAGGAGGGGTGCTGCTGCTTCTTCCCCGCGGGCCGGGACACCAGGCTGCAGTTCTCGGACCAGGACGGGGTGCCTGTGCTGCGGAGCGTCACGCTCTGGGTGGAGTCTCGGGCGGGGAACCGGTCAGAGAAGTCGCCCAGCGTTTCCCTGACGCTCTCCACGTGGGGTCAGCATCTGCTCCCTTCCTGGACCCTCTCCAGCCTCACAAGCCCCCGGCCTCCAAGCCTAGACCTGGAGGAGGATCCCAGGGTCCCAGGATAGATCGAGCCAGCGGTGACATCCAACTCTGGAGTGTGGTGACAGGGCTGCCTTCATGGCGCCCTATCTAAAAATCCCCTCTTGCTGGGCACTTAGGTTGCTTCTCGCTGCCCCTGTCTCCAAAGGGCACCTGGGGTCGGGTGCCCAGGGGACGCAGCCTGTGGGGCCCACGGAGGAGGGGGCGTGGGCCACCCTGGTTCTCACGGGGACCCAGCTGATGACCCGGGTCGGGCCAGCCACGGGCAGAGGAGGGACCATCGAGTCACACACGTGGGGCCATCTCCTGCCAACCGCCACCTCTGCTTCCAGTCCGATACCACCCTCCCCCGGGCGACATCAGGGTGTCCAGCGCGTCCGGGCAGCCGCGGTGGGAGTGGGCGACCAGGCAGGAGAAGGCCGAGGCCCAGCAGGACAGGGCGGAGGTGCAGCTCCGGCACCGGACACCCAGCGGCTCGTGGAAATGGGTGAGTTTCCTCCACGGGTCAAGAGTGGACCTGGCCTCTCTGGGGACCCTCCAGTTCCCATGGGTCTCACCGTCTCCACAGCCGCGCCCCGCCCTGGCCTCCACCCTGCCCAGGTCAGCCCCCAAGGTCTTTCCGACACTCCCCATGCGGGCTGCCACCTCCGCGGCTCACACGCCCGCCATGGCTCCCTATTACCCTCAGGAGTGCCGCCCGCTCTCCACGCCCCCCTCTGGCCAGGCTCGGGGTTCCTCAGGCCCAGGATCCGCGCTCCCCCCTGCCCTTCCCGGGCCTTCTCTTGTCACCTGAGCCCAGGCACAGCCAACAGCTTTCTGCTGTCAGGCCCCTGAGCCTCCGGCCAGGCAGGGCTCCATGGCCCCCCGGGTTCAATCCCTGGGACCCCCCTCAATTTCTTTTTAAATAGCTAAAGTTGTCAGCACCGAAGTGTAAAAAGACCGTGTCACATGGCCTCTCTCTAGGGCGACTGTGGACCCCAGGAGGCCTCGGGCCCAGGTGAGAATGAGCAAAGGCAGCCGCGGCCAGGAGGCGTTAACTGAGCACCTACTGTGGCCTCGCCTTCTGCAAAGGCCTGGGTTGGGTTTTGTGCGTCGCCCTTAACTTGACGTTGGATTATTTCCATTTTGCAAGTGAAAAAACAAAGCGAGGATTGGGATGGGGGGGCGCTGAGGAGCCCTTGGCCAAGGTCCCATCCCCGGGAGAGGGGGGGCAGCTCCCACCTGGGGCAGGGGCTAGTGGACACACCCAGGAACCCAAGGGGACAGGGTCTGGCTCGCTCCTGCCGGGCCCAGAGTCCAGTGCCCGGCTGTGTACACAGCTGGAGCTCCTAAGTGCGCGACGAGAGCTGAGCGACTAGTGCCAAGCCCTGGGCGACCCCGTGGGACTGACGTCTGGCCTGTGTGGCGCCCCTCCCCCAGAGTCCTGCCTGTGTCCCCTGGGGACGGACGGAGCCCGGGAATGCCAGTTTCGGCGGCGGCGGCGGTTGGCATCGGGTGCCCCGGGAGGTCCCTGGAGTAGCTGGGGCAGCTCTGTGTGTGTCCCCCCTGGTGAGAACGCCCCGGGCCACGGTGTAGGGGCCTTAGAAACGAGGCAGCAGGGCCAGGGCGGTCGCACGCCTGTGATCCCAGAGGCTTGGGAGGCTGAGGCAGGAGGATTGTGAGTTTGAGGCCAGCCTCAGCCGCTTGGTGAGATCCTGCGTGAAATACAATACAGAGCGGGGCGGCTGGGCGACAGAGCCCGTGCTCAGCACTACACGGCCCCATGCCCACCTCTACCCTAAAAGACAAGAGAAGAAGAAACCAGGCGGCGGGTATTAGACAGGAGACAGTGGGAGTTAGACATTAGGCAATGTGTATTAGAAATCAGGCAGTGAGGGCGTATGCTCAGCATGTGCTCCCCCCTCCGCAGCCACCCTCCCGCGGCCTGAGCTGAGGCTCTCCATGGGACCCCTGGGCCCCGACGGGAGGAGGCTGCTCACGGTGCTCGGGCAGGTAATGGGGCCTCTGAGGGGCTGCAGGTGGCCTGGGCAGGGACGGGGACAGGAGGCTGGGGGTGGGGTGGGCAGGGAGCCTGGGGTTCCCGTGGGAGCCACTGAGCACTGTGGGCCTGGAGGGCGGTGGGCCCGGATCTCCACTCTCCACGGCCGGCCGCTCTGGTCCGCGCAGAGCAGACAGCAACCAGAAGGCGGGAGGAGGGGACAGACTTCAGCAGGTCTCTCACGGGCTCAGTTTCTTCCAATTCAAATTCCTTTTCTTTGGAGCAATCTCCGGGCCTGAGCTACTGACTCCAAAGATTTGACTCTTTTTTTCTGAAATCGCAGTGGGTTTTGCCAATCCCCCCCTCCCCAGACCAGCATGCCCGGCTCTGACTGCCCGTTTCCCAACAGCTCTGCCAGCATTGTGTTTGACTATTTTTTTTTTTTTAAGAAATTTCGGTGCATGTGATTGGCTGCGGTCCTGTCCTCCTGGGCTGTCGTGCTGCCTGCCCAGAGGACAGTGTTCAGGTCCCCACAAGCCATCTCTCGTCCCCATGACAGCTACCCCAGGTCAAGCTTCCGGAAGGCTGCCTCGAAGCCCCTACAGCCAGGGTGAACCTCTCTGTCCAGCTGCACATGCTGTCCTGCTCCTGCAAGGCCAAGGCCGAGAGGACCCGGCCCCTGCGGAGGAAGCTCAGCCTCTCGGGGGCTGCCTACGATGTGGCTGTCTTCTCCCAGAGCCACTTTGGCCGGAGCTCCAACAGGACCTGGCACATTCCCGCCAACACCAGCACAGGTGCCTCTCGGTGGGGCGGCCGCCAGAGGGACCTGGAGCTGCGCAGCTCTTCTGAGCCTCACTCCACCAGCGAGAGGCCAGGGAGGCCAGGGAGGCCAGGGAGGCCAGGGAGCGTAAGGGGTGCCAAAACCCATGATCCAGCTGGGCCTGGCTGTGCTGCCTGTCATCCCAGTGTCTTGGGAGGCTGAGGCAGGAGGATCACAAGTTCGAGGCCAGCCTCAGCAACTTAGTGAGACCCTGTTTCAAAACACAAAAGGACCGTAGGTCAGTGGTGGGGTGCTCGCCCAGTGCGTGCAAGGCCCTGGGTTCGATCCCCAGCTCTGAAAAAAAAAATGTCATCCCAACATCCTTAATCCGGGTGGCTCCTTAAATTCCGCGCCCGAGCGCCACGCCACCCTGGGAAGGTGCAGGTGAGGCCACGAGGCTCATTTTACAGATACGACAACCACCCGAGGCTCAGAGATGTCCTGTCACTCCCGAGGGCGGCACAGCAGCCTGTGGTCAGCTCTGACCCGATGTGGGTGGCCGCCCTGCTGGGTGGACTTGGGCAGACCGCACACGGCGTCTGGGCCTCAGTTTTGGCATCCGTCAAATGGGGCCATCCCCGTCCCATCTCCCAGGGAGCCGGCGCACCCAGCTGGTGTTCAATAAATGCTACTTGTCTTCCGCCAAACGAGAAGCAGAGGCCCTGGTTTCAGGAAGTGGGAGAATGGAGCCGGGGGTCGGGGTGCGTCCTGCTGCCTCTGAATTTGGCCTCTGTCCCCAGCGGGTCCAGCTGGCGTCTGCTGCAGGGAGGGAGACAGGGGGCCCCGTCCGGGAGAGGGAAGCCCTTCAGACGCTCCCCGCCGCCCGCGTCCAGCCCCCAGCTGCCCCCCGAGGGGACAGAGCTGGGCGCAGATGTCCCCGGGCAGGAAGGTGGTCCGGGGGCCGCACAGGCCGGGCAAAGGCGGCTGCGCTGGGTGACCCGCCATCCCCTTCCAGACCCAGGGCTCCTGAACATCAGCGTCGACGCCGAGGGGACCACCCTGAGCTGGCCCGCGGGGGACCCGGGCACCACCTACTGCATCGAGTGGCGGCGGCTGGACGGAGGGGGCGGCCCTGCCCTCTGCAGCCTGCTCACCCCCCGCCACGCGGCCCCCGATGGACGAGGTACGTGAGTGGCCGTGTCCCTGCCAGGCCTCCGGGACGCCTCCCGAGACTGGACACAGGGGCGTCCAGGGCCCAGAGAGGCACCGCTGTGGACTCAGGTCCCACAGCTTGGGCGGGAACGGGGCCTCGGCCCTCCTCCTCTGCTGGCCCCGCGCCCGGGCAGGCTGCACCCCGCAGGGAGGCTCTCACGTCCCAGGTGCTTGTTCAATATTTGCTGTCACCAGGGAAGGTGGCATTTAGCAGGTGCTGGTGACAGGCTAATGAGGCCTCGGGAGGGGACGGCGCTCTGTGGCCGGGCGCCTCCCCCGCTTCCTGCCTGGGTCTGGCTGGAGCCAGAGGAAGCCGCAGCCTCCACCTGGCCTTCTTTTTGAGATCCTGGGGAGGAACCCAGGGTCTTGAGTCCGCCAGGCACTCGCCCACCATGACCCACACCCCCCGCTCCCCCTTTATGGGTGCCAGGGATTGACCCCAGGGGCGCTTAACCCCTGCGCCCCAGCCCCGGCCCTTTCTAGTTTTAATCTTGAGCAGCGTCTCACTGAGTTGCTTAGAGCCTCGCTAAGTTGCTGAGGCTGGCCTCCAACGTGCGATCCTCCTGCCTCAGCCTCCCGGTAGCTGGGATGCCAGGCGTGCAGCCGCCTGGTTGTGGAGGTGTCCCCGGCCTGACAGTGGGACAAAACCACCCCACCGTGCGGGAGGGGCCAGGTGGGAGTGGACGGGGCAAGTTGGGGAAGGGATCTGGGAGGAGGGGACGTTGGCGCAGGGGGCTCTGAAGCACGAGTGGGCAGAGGTGGTGACGCGGTGGCCCCGGGGGCCCTCCCTCCTTCCAGTGGCTCACAGCTGGGGCCGGGGATCCGGGGCGCTGCTGCCGGAGGGTTGCTACCACCTGGCCATCTTCGCCTCTGCGCACCCGAGGAACCCCGCGTCCTGGTCCACGGTCCTGTCCACCCACTACTTCGGGGGCAGCGGTGAGTGCCCCGCCTGCAGGCCCAGCTCCGGGGCCTCTGCAGCGGCTTCGGGCTTCAGGGGGCACGTCGGGTGCCAGCCGCTCACAGGTGACCAAGGCCAGGCACAGCGAGGGCCGAGGTGCGGGAGCCTCAGCGGCCAGTGTCCCCCATGTGCCAGGCTGGGCTTCGGGTGCCCGGCCCCCGCACTGACGGTGGCGCTGCTGCTGGTTGCAGCCCCGGTGGCCGGGATCCCGCAGCGCGTGTCGGTGAGGAACCGCAGCAGGGACTCCGTGTCCGTAGACTGGTGGCCCTCGCTGCTGAGCACCTGCCCCGGCGTCCTGGAGGGGTACGTCGTGCGCTGCCAAGAGGAGGGCAGCCAGGGCTCAGGTACGCGGGCCCACAGCTCTGGCGCGAGCTCCTTCTTGCTG